TTTCATTTGGTTCACTGGTGTTGCCTCTCCTTTGGAAAGCTGCTGGTTGTTTTTGTGAAGGTGTGTTAGGATGAAGTGTCCACTTGACATGTATGGTCACCAGTGGGCCAAATAGAGTTGGAGAGCTCATCCCAACCGAGCGCGAAACTTTTCTTTTGTGAGGTCAGGATAGGTCAGGCAGGTCACTGCAAGCTAGACCGACTAGCGATGACTCCTGACTTGAGCCGGAGGTTGGTGGCGCTTGACGAGTTGGGAGTCCTAACCAGAACCCACAAGAATCCATAAGGGCGGTTTGAAGTTGGTTTGAGCAGTTTACATGTGGTGAAGGACATCATTTAAGACCCCACTACGCGGGTTTTCAGGGGGGGGTCTAGAACCTTTGCTGTTGCCTACGTAGACTCCCTAGGAAAACCATATAAGACCCTCAGTTTTGGGGTTTGCAATGAGGCCCCTGGGGTCCCTTGCTTGTAGCTGCTGGTATACAATTGTCCAACGCCACCCAAGTATGCTGGGGCTCCAGTTTTGTCAGTGCAATGTCCTATCCTGCACCTTGCTCCTGACAAACATTGGTACTTCTACACCGTCTCAAAAGGTAGAACGTATATACAGGAACATAGCCTGCCAAAGGTTGGTTCTGGAAGACATTGGAAGACGAAGAACAAAATTGCCCAAACATATAGGTCCCCCACATGTCTCCACCCAGTTGTCTCACCTTTTGTCGGGCATTGTGACATCCCGTTCTAATCCTTTTGTTCTTCTTCCCAGACTTTGGTCACTGTGGTGGACATCACCTTCATGCGGTGCATGTTTGGTCAGGTCTTTCTGGTGCATCCTTTCTTTTTTTGTGTGTAACAAAGAAATTGTGAAAGTAACAATAGACACAATCAGAAGGGGAGTTGTGGGAGGGACTTACCATCCGCAGCTCGTTTGGGCCATTTTGGCTCAAGAGCCTGTGGGGTTTGATCTTTTCCGTTCATGGCCCATTTGGTTAGGTGGGGAGAGGCCACCTGGGATCCGGTACCAGGCCCTCAGGTGGGAAACCATCTGGGCATCTGGCCACTCATCACCGGTGTGCTCTTGAGCGTCCTGGTGGTGGGTGTGTGGATCGGGTGGAAGGCCCACTCCATTTGGGCCGCGTGGAAAGTGGTCAACCCACTAGCTCGCTTCCAAGTGTGTGACACACCTTGGGCCATCCTCACCAGGAAGGCCATAAGGTTTGTGTCTCGTCGCCGCCTCATAAGCCTTGCCTTCTCCAACTACCGCAACTACTCTTTGCGGAACACCGAGCACGGCACACCTACAACCCTACGAAGGGCAAGGCTTGCGGTGGCAAGCCCAAAAGCATCTGCCAGGAGGCAGATCCAATTCGACCAAGAGCTCACCGTTGAGAGAAGGTCCCGTGATCAGCCATGGACCCCACCGACGCAGAGCTCAATAATATGGCCACCCTTCAGCATGTTGCAGACTGGGCCGGCACAACTGGAGAAGTCCACGAACAATTGATGGATGCTCTGGGCAAGCCCTCAAAACTGCGGGACATTGCCTTCATCAACCGGACGGTCTGGGACAACGTGGTGGCAGGGCTAAAGATCGATACTTCATCTGGCACAACCACCAGTGAAAGAGACCTCACCCCAGTTGAGGCTTCTCGAATCGAGATATTCCGAAGGGTCACCTTACTTCGGCTTGGTGCAAATCCAGATCACGTTGGATCGTCAACCGCACCGCCAGTAGTGTCCATCGGAGTCTCACCTTTGCCAAGTACTTCAACACCAACCTCTCCCACGAGGAAGCTGAAACTGAGCAGCGTGATCGACCCAACGCTGGATGCTGAGATTATTCAGCTAGAGCAGTCAGAAGTGGCACGCATGTATAGTACATACAAGGCAAAGTTCGGTGACCATCCAAGCCAAGAAGTGGAACCTTCGGCAGACCAACTGTCGGGTATCAATCAAATGTTGCGAAGTGGCGCGCTGCCATATTGCGATTTCAGTGTGTTTGGACCCCACGGACTCCGACAACTGAGAAAAGCAGTGTTCACCTCCTACGTACTGAATGTTGCCACAGGAGAGTGGTCCAAGAGCGAAGCTCCAGGGCCTGACTCGATCTTCAACTGGGAGAAGTCCTTTCGGCCTTGCTTCTCCTGGAGGCAGCCGAATCCGAGCGATTGGACGCGTATGCAGATCACATCAAAGAGCTTCATGGGCAGTTTGGCCATGAATGTTGGGGGATCATCTATAGGGCTGACGTGCGTATGAGATCCGAGTTTCAGGACAGGATACGCCGAGCCTTGGATGAAAACCCGAACTATGGCTACACCCGTGCAAGCCCTTGGTCAGCAGTGTTTGCACAGGCTGTCAAAGAAGGAGACTTTTGGACCAAAGAAGTCGTGACACCAGCAACCCTACTGCTAGCACGGAACAAATCCCTGCCAGCCAGACAGGACGGGGATTCATCCGATTCAGACCGAGGAGGCAAGAAAGTCAGACCAGATCAACCTCCGAAGAAGAAGAAGAGGAAGTACGCCGGTGAAGACCTTTCACATTGGGACGGGCAAGCTGGCGCCTTCTCTCTCAACCGGAAGGGGATACAGATCTGTCAGAAGTTCAACCGCAATCAATGCGGCAATGGCAAAGCGCAATCCCGATGCCCGAACAATTGCAGCCATCAATGCAACCTTTGTCTTGGCCCGCATATGGCCACGAAGTGCACAGGAGGCAAGCGACAGAAGAGCTGAGAAGGTGGAAACACCACGCTGACTACGGCTCCCGGGACAGACCCGGCCACACCAGGGACATCGGCAAAAGCGAAGCCAGCTCCTCCGCCTACGCCCACGCCAGAGGGAGACAACTCCAAGAGGAGGCCAGCATCACCAATTGGCCCCCCACCAAGGCGTGGCAGTGATTCACACCCTAGCGGGAGTCAGCCCGATCGTGAGACCCGCAGGTCGAGAAGCAGGAGAAAATCCCGCCGCAGGAGCCGGTCGAAAACACCTATCAAGAGAAGGATCAGCGACTTTCCCCTGTGGATCACTGCAAAGAACATCTCCTCCGTGGGAGACCTTCCCAAAGTGACGAGGTGGCACAAGTACAGGTACGGTTGTACAAACCTGGAACCGGAACTGTGGGCTGACCAACCGAGATGCCTGTTGGTATTCAGCGGCAAGCACAGACCCGGGGACTTGGCTAGCTACCTCGGAGCAGAAGGATGGATCGTGGTCATCGTCGATAAGGTGGCGCCAGAGCCCACCGATGTGCTGTCAGAGCACAACCTCGACAAGATCCTAGCCGACACGGAAACCGGCATGTACGATGTGGTGGGGTGTGCAACCCCGTGTGAAACACTATCACCGCTCAGGGAATCACCTCCAGGCCCAAGACCGCTGCGATCTTTGGATAAGCCAGATGGGCTGCCAAGCGAAGAGCTGACCGAAAGTGAAAGGATTCAGCTCAAAGAGGCAAACCGCCTCATCGCGCTATCAGCAAGGCTCGCGGAAATCCAAGCTACAGCGGGCAGGGCCTTCTGGATCGAGAACCCAGATCACAAAGACAAGCTGGACCTATGGAAGACCACTCCCCTGAAGTTCCTCGTCAGAGAGTTCAACGTATGGATCACCGAATTTGACCCATGCAGGTTTGGAGCAGAAGTTCGGAAGCCCACAAAGCTGATGTCGTTCCACATGAACTTTTGGGGCATCGGAGACCTCAGATGCAACCACCCAGTTCAACAGTGGACGAGAACGGACGGCTCCACCTACAAAGCACCACACGAATCCTTGGTGCAGAGATGGAGAACAAACGACGAGGGGAAGAAGGAGAGAGCCAGCAAAGCGTTGGCAGGGTATCCTCCACAGCTGAACTACGCATTGGCCCAAGCCACAGTGAGTGTCAGCATGTCCAGAGCAACGGCTATGCTCACAGCTCTGAAAGGAGAGCTCGCACCCTCACGAAGCTGAGGGCACGGCAATTTTTACGGGCCGCAATTGCTGGATAGAGCTCAGAAGCTCAGAGATATCGAAAACGAGGCAGCAATAGGAGGAATGCGAAACCCAGCTACATCAGCCGCAAAGATCCCAAAATCACTACATTTTGGAAACGCTATAGGAGAACTACTTCACCTGGCCTCTTCACACGAATCCGTTCTCAGTCAGGTTGACCACCTCCTAAATGGCGAAGCGGCAAAACCACTGGACTCACGTCTCATTAACCACTTGAGAAGTTCGGTGTTAGAAGTGTTGGGAAACGACATCGAGGGTCTGCCCATTCGGTCGGCCACAGCACGTACCCCACTTCAACCCGAGATTTTCTGGGCATGGGGAAAAGCCACGGGGGATCCGGACTCAGTGACTCTCGCCTCTTGGTTACAAACCGGGGCACCGCTGGGTTTCTCGGAACCTATTCCAAACACAGGCATATTCCCGCCGGTGGAGTCGATGAAGTGGGATCTTGAAGCAGCCAAACTCCTGGCCAGAGAATTTGAAGGCTGGCAAAATCATCCTTCAGCCAACGATTTGAATCAGACCTCAACCAACTTGTTCGGGATGCGTTGGACAAAGGATTCTGTTCATTATCGGACTCGGTCGAGGAGGCAACGTGTAAGGTGGGGATCGAACCGACCTTCAACAAGCTGGGTGTAATTGTTAAAGAGAGGGCTGGCAAGAGGAAAGCCCGCATCATTTGGGACCTTAGAGAAAGTGGTGTCAACAAATTGTGTTCACAAGGCGAGAGAATTCTTCTTCCCCGCCTTAGCGATGTTGTAGGAGACGCTCTGGACGTATTCAGAAGAGGAGGAACACCTTCATTCTTCGCAATTGATGTCCGCGATGCATTCCACAACATTCCCGCGGGAAAAGACAGGGCCTATACCTCTGCCGTGGTGAACATAGATGGCCGCCAACAAATTCTCACATTCGACGTTTTGGTGTTCGGGTCCGTTTCTTCACCAACTTTGTGGGGACGTTTTGCTGCCTGGTTTGGACGAACGCTCGCAGTTATAAACCCCGAGGTTGCCATGCAGGTTTACGTGGACGATCCCATCATGGTGTTCGATTCACAGAATCCCGCACTCAAAACACTGCTGGGAAAGTCCCTGCTATGGGCTGCAATCACTGGGTTCCCCATCAAACTGGAGAAGACTGATGCTGGAAACGAAGTCAAATGGATTGGTGCCCTCATCAAAGCCTGCCACGACACCAAAACCATAAAAGTGACCATACCTGCGGATAAAGTTGCGGAGTTAGTTCAGAAGATTGACGCAATATTGGCAAAACCGGTTGTAGGAAGAAAACAGCTACAATCTCTAGCGGGAGCTCTATCCTTCGTTGCAGGCATTGTGCCGCTCATGCGTCCGTTTCTGGGAGCTGTGTGGGCAGTGCTTGCCACAACGAATGACGGTTCTAATTTTAGAACCAGAAATGTTGTGCACACTCGCCGCATAAGGCACGCCCTAGAATGGATCAGAGCCGTGCTGGAGGGAAAACAGACTCCGCTGGTGCGCACTCTTCGGGCGTTCCGTCCGACCTCGGGAGTGATCATCCTTACGGATGCCTCCACGTGGGGATTGGGTGCAGTTATGTTGGAACAAGGTGAACCCAAAGAATTCTTTTCGTGTCCTATCCCACCGGAATTCATCCTCCGAACTGGGGCAATCCCTGGCATCCCGAAACACATGACTCTCTGGGAAGCATTGCGCCTACTTTTAGCCGCTCGGACGTGGCTCACCAAACACCCGATTGGGTCAGTGGTACGTGTCAAGGCGGAAAACATTGGCACCCTCTACCTCATTGCAAAGGGCAGTTCCAGCTCCCCAGAACTGTCGATGGTCGCCAGGGAGATAGCACTGGACCAAGCGAACGAGAAATACGAGTTCACCATACTCCAACACATCAACACCAAGCTGAACAAGACTGCAGACCCTCTCAGTCGACAACATGACCCCAATCCTCCACCTTTTCCTGAGAACATTCAGGGCGCAACACGCGTTCTCATTGAAGTAGGTCCTGAGTTTTGGCTTCTCCCCGAGACCGCTCAAACCCTTCGAAGAGAAAAGCGCAGGAGTCCGTTGTGTGCTTGGTCAAACCCACACACATATAAACAAAACGGGTCAAACAGCTCCTAAAGCGGATCGTACTCAAGAAATTTAGTGGCGGACGTGATAGGGATGGCTCAAGCATGAAACGCTCTTTGGGTCCCTCACGTTTCCTGTACGATCCAAAGAGGCCAGAAGTCCAGGCTCCACCGAAAGGTTTGCGGCCATTGGACGAAGGCCCGGTGGTTTGTCACGCACCACCAAGCCATGGCACAACCATACAGGAGGAGAGCCACCGTCTGGAGGCAAAACCTTACTCCAGGGGCTCCCTGAAGTTGGCTATTCATGAAGCAGCTCTGCACCCAAACGAGTGCGCAGAGCACATCGGAAAGCGAGCCAAAGCTGAATCATCGCGTTTGCCCATTCAATCTAAAGAGAAAACCTGGGCGGCAATAGCATCGGCAGCTGGATTCTCGACACCGTTCGTGCTCACACCTCAGCTCATCTTCACAGTGACAGGGGCATTAGACAAAGCGGGATATCGCTCGACAGAACAGTATCTGGAAACTGCCCGCCAAGCTCATATCAGCGCAGGACACGCGTGGACACAACAGCTCAACTTGGCGGCAAAACAAGCCAAGCGAGCTTGTCAGCGCGGCCGCGGGCCTGCCAAGCAAGCCCAACCCCTGCCAATGAAGGAACTGGCAGCACTACAGCACACCGAGCCGGCTGTTGCACCTGGGGGCCCAGCTTTTCCTGTCCGGGCAACATTGCTGGCATCGTGGTGGCTCCTTCGAGAAATCGAAGCAAGCTATGCCAATGTGTCCCACGTCACGGTGGATGACAGCACTGGTCTGATACACCGGAAACTTCCATCTAGCAAAGCAGACTGGAAAGCTCTGGGAGCCGTCAGAACTCACATGTGCGCGTGCAGTGAAAAGAGCAAAGACCGCCTATGTCCCTTTCACCTCATGTCTGCCCAAGTTGAATGGTGCAAACGCCACGGTTTTCTTCACCTCCTACCACAACCGGACGGGTCTACATCGACCAAAGCCGGCTGGGCCGACACGTTTGAGCATTTGGGCAAACAGCTCAAACTTCCCATCCTCACGGACACAGGCCTTAGGAGGTTTACCGGTCATTCGGCCAGAGCCACAGGTGCCATACACCTTGCACATATGCACACTGAACTGTGGCGTATACAGCTCTTTGGTCGATGGGGATCGGATTGCTTCCTTCGATACGTCCGAGAAGCACCGCTATCTCAATTGTTTGGCCTCGCACAGGAGGCCACCTTGCAGACTTCCCTGGCAGCTGCAAGAGCCGAACTCGCGGCCATTCTTGCCAAAGTGCCGGATTCTGCAAATCGCACGGCTACAACAGACTTCACCGCGCAAAAGATTGAAGTCTTAGCCGATTGCGAAGCCGCAAACACTTTGGTACCTGACGTACCTGTGCCAGCATGCCCTTTGTTCGTCGTAAACCTTGCTCCGGACGGGAAGGTTCACAAAGTGGGTCGCTCAGGTCCGCACCTGCCCCACTACTTATGGCGAGCTGCATGTTCTTGGCCGTTTGCCAGGCACCACGCCGACTACGATCTCACGGACACACGTCCCACAGATCGCAAGTTGTGCGCTAAATGTTTTAAACTCCCAAAGACAAAGGGGTCAGACGAAGAGTCCTCCTCCTCTTCTTCGTCCTCGTCAGAGTCATGCGCTCCGCAAGTTGGATCAGATGGGCAGTGACTCAGTATGAGGAAGCTTGACACCACAGAGTTTGGGAAGCTGAAAGTGTCCCTTA